GGACTTGTACCGCAAAGCATAAATCTCTCTATATATTTTTCCCAGATTTGTCTCATCTTCACTTCTTTTAACTTCAATTCAGTTCACTCCTCTGAGTCCATCCACAATGGCTAACGCCGCCAATGGCTCCGGCTTTGCCCCCTGCCTTTTCTTTCTCCAAGTCATCAAGGGGCGGTGGTTCATGATGTTTGCATCCTTCCTAATCATGGCAGGCGCCGGTGCAACATACCTGTTCGGTGTATACTCCAAGGACATCAAATCAACACTGGGTTATGACCAGTCCACTTTGAACCTCCTCAGCTCATGCAAGGACCTTGGAGCCAACGTTGGGATCCTCTCCGGCCTCCTCGCCGAGGTAACTCCCACGTGGTTCGTCCTTTTAGTCGGCGCTGTCCTGAATTTTGCTGGGTATTTCATGGTCTGGCTCGCTGTCTGCAGAAAAATCCCCAAACCAAAAGTATGGCAAATGTGTGCCTACATTTGCATTGGTGCAAATTCCCAGAATTTCGCCAATACAGGGTCTTTAGTCACTTGTGTGAAGAACTTTCCAGAAAGTAGAGGGATGATGATGGGGCTGATGAAGGGGTTTGTGGGGCTCAGTGGGGCTCTGTTTACTCAGCTTTACTTTGCTATATATGGTGATGATTCAAAGTCTTTGATTCTGCTCATTGGATGGCTCCCTGCAGCAATTTCTCTGGTTTTTGTTTATACCATTAGGGAGATGAAGATTTCTTCACACCCCCATGAGCTCAAGGTGTTCTATGAATGTCTATTTATCTCAATTGCTATGGCTTTAGTTCTGATGGGATTAACCATTGCCCAGAAACAGGTTCAATTTTCTCACCTTGGGTATGTAATCAGTGCAACTGTTGTTTGTGTTTTGATGTTTCTCCCTCTGATTTTAGCTGTTAGAGAAGAGTTCTATACTTGGAGGACCAATAAAGAGCAACAAAATTCTGTTCCTAGTAACATTGTTGTTGTTAAGGAATTAAAATCCCAAGAACTGCCAGTTTCAAAGAGTGAAATTGAGCAAGTAGAATGCACCCAGAAGACCGACGAGGAGGAGAAGGTCGAGATCAAGGAGAAGGAGAATGTCTCATGTTGTGCTAATATCTGTAACCCACCAAATAGAGGTGAAGATTACTCAATTCTCCAAGGTCTTCTAAATGTTGACATGCTGATTCTGTTCCTGGCTACATTCTGTGGATTGGGTTGCAGCTTAACAGCAATGGACAACTTAGGCCAAATTGGCGAGTCCTTAGGCTACCCACAACACACCATAAGCACATTTGTTTCCCTGGTCAGCATCTGGAACTACTATGGCAGGGTATTTTCTGGATTTGTCTCTGAAATCATCTTATTGAAGTACAAAGTTCCGCGGCCACTGATCATGGCTTTATCCTTGCTATTATCTGCCGTTAGTGACCTCCTTATTGCGTTCCCAGCCCCTGGTTCTGTCTATATTGCATCATTGATTATGGGGTTCTCATATGGTGCCCAACTTACACTTATCTTCACCATAATCTCTGAGCTCTTTGGATTGAAATACTACTCCACACTATTCAATTGTGGTCAATTGGCTAGTCCTCTTGGATCATACATACTGAATGTCAAGGTTGTTGGGAATCTGTATGACAAAGAAGCATTAAAGCAGCTTGCATCAAAAGGAATGACAAGATCAATGGTGAAGGAACTGACTTGCGTCGGGAAACAATGTTACAGGCTATCTTTCTCAATTTTAGCTGCTACAAACACCGTTGGAGCTCTGGTTACACTGATTCTTGTTTGGAGAACAAGAAAGTTTTACAAAGGGAATATCTATAAGAGATTTAGAGATGAAATGGAAGCTAGTGCAAAGGAAATGACTTTACAACATTAGCATAGTTGCTAGGGAACAATAAGGTGATTAATTTTTTTTTTTCTTGTCAACAATTGTTAATTTCAAATAATAAAAAGGAGATGTTTGTTATTTTTAAGTTTTTGTGTTTAGTGTAACAAATTATCTTAGTCCAGAATCCATATAAACGAATAACAAACTTTCATTAACTGATTGGATTTTAATGTTTGGGAGTTGGGATGCTTAATGAGTCTACAGAAGAAAGGATATGTTTGTTAAATTTGTTCCAATTTGTAAGATATCATCATGCGCATTGAGCAACAATAAATATGTTTGAATTGGTAAGATGCCAGCCTCTGTTGACATCTTCATGAAGTTGATAATTGTTAATTTTGTACCAATCCATGTGGCTTTTTTGCCCATTCACTCTCAACCTAGTCATTGTTTTCCTTTCTCAATGAAGGGTTGGATGAGGTGATGTTGGCAGTAGAACTTTCCTCAAATTGTAGCGTTGTTTGATAGGCTGATGGTGTTGCCATTCATAAGATTGAGAGCACATGAAGCAACTCTTCTGCTAATGCTATGGAGTCGCATTCACCAAAATGCTCTCCACCACATGGAGTCCCGTACTCATAGTCTGTTTTCTTATATCGGACCTAAAATGTAAGTAATAAAGTATGTTTTTTCCTGTGAAAGAAAAATAAAACCTACTTTTTTCTTAGATTGTTGAACCATCCACTCTCAGTTCTCATTGCAATTGATGAAGTAATGGAAGTCCATGTTCCAATAGGGAACAGACCTATGTCTTGCCCCGTTTGAGTGCCGAGTGCTTAATGATAGACTTCGACTTTGGTTTTAGTTGTGACAATTGCCTTGTTTTGTTTTGTTTGTGTGTTTTTTTTTTATTTTTTTATTTTTTTTATTTTTT